GGAGAAATATGCAGGAGATGAGCAATCCTCATAACGATTCAAAAAATCTTTATAAATAAGATAAACATAGGAGCCGAGCACGCATACACTACTTGAATCGAAGGACATTGACCCAATAGTATAGACCAAAACAGTAGGAACAGATGGTATAATGACTCCACGTGATTAACGGTGAAACGAAACTATCTGTCCAACACAAGATACTCTGAGATTCTACTACAAGGGTTAGGAAAAGAAGGTAGATACTTGTGTACACAAACGAACACATATATTCAACAAAGGGTCATATCAGGGTACCATAATGAAACCTATAGTTCCAGTAAAGAAGATACAGACCAGCAAATTATAAAAAAATAGATGCCGGTCAGCAAGACTTAAACAGGTATGTGTCACATACAGAGGTCATGCGATACGGCTTAAGCTAGCAAGTGAAATTAGCATTGAACCCCAGATTCAGCGCTGCCAGAGCTACCATAGCCACAATCAGCCTCACACATTAAAGACAGTGTGAGACTGCGCTATGCCACATCACGCTAGAAACTCTCTACAAACAGATAAAAAAGACAAGAAATATATTAATCTAATGTTAGTGTTGGTGAGAATGTGAACACTAATTCTATGTACTATTATCTGTTGAATGGGCAATGAGTTATAAAAACGTAAACGTAAATAATTACAGGAAATACTATCAGCCATACAATTACTCTTATAATCTGACCATAATTCAACACAAACCCTTAAATGTACCTCAGATAGATTCGTGTGTTATCAGTAGAAAACGCATAAGACTAACTTATCCAACAAATCGAGACTATTGAAACCATAGAATGTTATCATAGCTATTACATATGTGGTAATAACCCATAATAAATTGTAATTCGTATCAAAAGCTAAAAGCAAAGTTAACCCATATTCACGATGACCGCTAGAGTCACGTAAGTAAACTGCTCCACTTGTCCTCTATGACAGGTATAACAAACCACATAGGCAACATAATCGACATCAAAGTGCATGATATCATCTCTCAAGTATCAATGTACAAAGTACCCATTTCTTTATGACCTAATGAATAGAAAGTAGCCACTTGCTCAACAATGGAGAATATGGAGTAAATGAAAATTATAGCAATAAGGCAATATATGGGACTTCATGAGATCTTGAGTAACTTACCCTTCCATATTTCGCTCACGAGCACTTATCAACAGCTGTCTGCTTATCTGGGTACATATAGTGTGTCTCTCTCATCTTGACTGCCTAACCTTATATTTCATTCTGTTGCGGCCTTGACCCAGAAAGTCTTGTAGCGTGATACGCGGAGAGTCATATATGGTCACAAGCCGTTCCTCCTATATAAGAGCTGCCGTGCGTAATTAGCGTTTGCTCACACCATTACTCCCAACTAGATAGCGTCTTGTCGAGAAGTAATTAGTAATTGCGGTCATAAGATGGCATTTCCTACAAGTAAAGGACATTGAGAGAGGGATCTACTGACTGTAAGGAAAGCCGCTGGATTGATCAAGAACTGAGGTATCTTTACAAGAAACCACGCAGTCCCATGGTCCCATACCTGAAGGATGTGGATATATTTTTGCACCTTGCAAGCGTACTAGTTATACCTGGATAGCTTGTCTTTCTGTCTCTGACATATAACTATCTAAAAATGTGGGCAGAAAAGCAGAAATAGGACAACGAGTTCCGCATGTAGCGCGACTTTCACGCTGTAAACAAAAATCCAAGAGAGTCAATACATTTTAAGTGACATCAGACCATAACAAATCACGAAACTTACTTATTTCACACCAAGGAAAGCTCAACTTTCCAGAGCCCAAGCCTTGAAGTGGTGTAGGTCTCAGTGTTCAAGCTATAGGTAGCTGCAGGCGAGTGTCCTTTAATCAAACATCGTGGTCTAAAGAATTAGGGTTTTGTCCACAAGACCAGAGTAACAGAGTTCAGTCCTTTGTCAACTGGGCAGAGCAGTTCTTTATATATAGTTTCATTTACTTGACCATCACCTTCACTCATGGGTATGTTCTAAAAAATGCATATGTTGTATGTATTAAAAGGCACTAGAAACAACCCAAATGTCTATGAAAAAATAAATAGAATGGATACATTGTGTCCATATTCACTACCATCCGAGTGCTGTCCAGCAGGAATAACACATCAACTATAGCTACATACAATATATTCGAATCACACAACTAAAAATTGCGCAAAGGAAGCCAGACACAAAAGAGTATGTATAAGATTTCTTATTAAAGTTCAGAATAGGTAGACTCAATCATGGGTGATAGAAATCCGGGACAGTGGGTACATGAGGAAGTGGGGTGGTGACTTCAGAGACAAGAAAAGCATTTCGGGGTCCAGTCAATGGTCTCTTTCCTGATCAGGATAAACAAACAGACACAATTTTTCAAGATGCATAAAAACTGCCGAATTATTCTATGGTGCAATCATCAATACAAATATGTCAGAAAATCTGAATACTCATTTCAGTCAAACCACATACCCTTCTGATCACATCTTTAGCTACACGTAGTAAGGAATCTGTTCCATGTACTTTTATCTAAAATAAAATATCTGTCAAGCCTTTTTTCCTTTTTCACTATTCTAATGACTGTATTCCAATCTTAAACCTATGCATTTCCTTGTCTCATCATGATACTATCATGTGGACTATTTGGGGTTTATTACAGTAAAGAATTCTGGCCGGCATGGGGCCACCGCCTGTATATCCTAGCGACTATGGAGGCTGAGGCAGAGGACCCTTGAAGTAGGTGTTGAAACAGCCTGAGCAATGAACCCATCTCTAAATAAAAAAAAAAACAAGAATTCTGTGGACTTGTCTTTTACAGTGACATTCTACGACCAATGCTCTCATGATGGAAGAAGAAAGCCATAATGCTGACTGTTGTGGTCTGAATCATTGATGCATTCTGTATGAAAGGAGAATATCTGGACTCCGGTATGGGAAAGATACTCAGTTACAAAATGAGCGCTCTGAGTTCTCCTTATCTCAGATTAGACTGATTAAATCAGGCGTCCTCAAACTACAGCCTGAGGCCACATGCTGCCCCGCCTCAGGACATTTATCTGGCCACCAGGTGTTTTTGCGGCGCTGCCTGTCTGCTTAGCAGCCGACTCTCCCAGGCCCACAGTGTGCACTCTCCAGTGGTCTGGGACAGTGACTGCCTGTTTAAAAAGTTTGAGGACTGTGGATTAGATCATAACAACCAGACTGGGGTTCAGGGAGATCTATGTCATGATAGGATTCCTTTAAACTTCGATATAATATTTAAAATGTTTTTCCTTCCAACTTGGACTTATTTATGCATTATGGATATTCAAATGCTTGCCTGGCTTGATCCCTGTTAAACATATATACCATCATATTCACACAACTATTCTGCGTATAAATAACCTATATAGAAGTTTAAACCTGATATATTCAGTATTCGTTGACGTCTCCAGTCATGTCTCTCGTTTGTTGTGCTATAGATTTAATCGTGAATCTTACGTTCTAACCCTTGTCAATCTTGTATTTTTACTAAAGTAATAGCTTACCATTCTTCCCCATGATTTTGTTAACGTCTGATTAATCTACTATTTGAGTATAGAAAGAGACATTGTGTTATGCCTTTCAAAAAAGCATTTAATTTTATATTATCCTGAATTCTCCCCATAGTTGGAGTTAGTAGATTCTCTTCATGTACTCAAGATGGGAAGCAGCAAAGTAGTGACAGGGTATGTACAAAAAAAAAATTAGGTTTTCTTTTTCTCTCAATGTATATTTGCGTCTTGTGTATTAAATTTACAAAGTACTCGCTTTAACAGACTTGCTGAAAGATTCTGATCTACAGCTTCAGTAAAGTCTCCAAATACTATTTATCTACTTGCTCAATCCTAAGTGTTTTAGTTGGTAAGTTCTTGCATGGGTTCAAGGGCAAGTAAAATAATATTTATTAATGCTAATAAAAGTTCCATTCTCCATCTCTTATAGTGAGTTTAAACATGGTCATTGTGACCAGAGGGAATTGCATTTTCGCATAAAAATAATTTGCTTAATGTTGGCAGTCGGTGCCTCACTGAGGTTTTAAGAATACTCAACACTTGGACGGAGCTGAGGAAGGTACATAGGAACTCTGTACACCATACTCTTTTATAATTAAAATTATTCTCAAAAAAGTTTAAAAATACGCATTACTGGTATTAGTACTAGAAGCAGAACATAATTTGTACATGTAAGAAAATTAGCAGTTGAGCATAGTCTGAGCTTGTTAACCTGGCATACATACAAGATTATCACTTGTTCTTTTGGTGATAAATAGATACGTGGCCTTAATTTTGACTTCAGCTTGAAAAGGCTGGCTGTTAACTTGCCTATTATCAGATCTATTGTTATAGAAATGAAATTCTTTTCATACTTTATTTCTCGAGTAAAAAACATATTTGATTTTTTTTGTTTTTTTTTTTGAGACAGTCTCGCTTTGTTGCACAGGCTAGAGTGATTGCGTAGCATCACCTAGCTCACAGCAACCTCAACTCCTGGGCCTTCAAGCATCCTCTGCCTCAGCCTCCCGAGTAGTCGGGACTCACAGCATGCAAATGATCATGCTGGCAATTTTTAATATATTAGTTGCCAATTATTTCTTTCCTTATGTTATACGTCAAGAGACGGGTCTCACTCTTGATCTAGCTGGTTTCGAACTCTGACCTCCGAGCATCCGCCCCCTCGGCTCCCCCAGAGTGCAGGATTACAGCATGAGCCACCTGCGCCTGCCATATTTGATCTTTTGACAAG